CAAATCTGCCGTACCTTCCCTCCAAATAATTTACCTTTTCAGGATTTTCCTGGAGAACTATTGTTGCTAGACTGCGAATCTAATTGGATTCTTGATGGCAAATTCTCCTGAGTGGGATAAGTGGGGAAATGGTTTTCATGTAAAATGAATGCACGCAAACGTGTACAGACACAAAAAACACACACAAGCACAAAAAGAAGTGGATTAAAGCTGTGGAACCAACTGGTTGACTCGTCAGAGACGACAATAGTAGTCAAAAAAACAAGCCCTGATTCATGATGTGAATGATCAAGCCCACATGTATCCTACATTTTGCATGCAGATTGGACTCATACGTGCATGAGAGCAGCACTATATGTACAGGCTAATAATCAGGCTAATAATTAGATTTTCATCTTCTCAGCTTTTTTAATGGGTTTGCTCTTATTTTGGATTATTCCTGTGAAAGAAAGTGACCATGGACAAAAATGTAACTGTACGTGCTACTGAAGGAGCATGTGATCACATTAAATCTCTCTAAAGCCCCTGTGATAAATGAGGTTTCTGAAGGGTTTGTCTCAAGTCTCAGTGGGGTGTGCATGGGAAAATTGGATTTGTCAAGCTAGATCTAAATCAATATACCCACTCTGCTTTCAGCACTATTATCATGCACACATTTTTACCTCTCTCCAGTCAAATTACTTGCTGGAACCTGTGGCATGCATCAAACCACATTTACCCATTAAAGGGACCTCTGTGTGGTGCTGTATTCTTTTAAAGTTCAAAAGAGTGAACACACTGCAATGGCATAAAATAATGACCAAAAAACAACAAAGCAAATAGCAAAAACAAACAGAACAGATTGTCGCATGGTAACTGACAAATACATACACACATGCATTCTGTATAAACTTTAAAGAAAGGGTTTAAAAAACTGAATAAAATACTTGAAATATTTTTTTAAATGACAAATTCCTTGTTCTCAGGAGGAAACCTTGCATGGCAGGGTAAGAGGAAATCCCTCAGTCGCTGCGCTCCCTATTTCATTTGTCACTGTAAAGGGATGTGTGTCCTCCCTTGTCTCCTCATCTTTATTCACTGCGGGGCCCCTCGTTGCTGCACTCTAAAGGATTGTCTCTCCTCTGTCTTCCCCACATGCCCTCTGTAATTCCTCTAATAGGTCACTTAAGGTATGTGAGCCTGAGCTGGAGGACATTTACCTTTTCACACGCACAGTGAAAACACTAACCTAAAGAATCGACTCAGTTAATTGATGTAAAAGAGTTTCCATTTTCAAATATATATTCTGCCCTGTGCTTTGGGTAATGAGTAGTCAAATTTAACAGCTAAAAACCACTAAAAGAAAGTAGGTAACACTTATTTAGCATTGCTATACAACTCTTCGCCCCAGTAACTTCCCAGAGTTACAATAAAGAATTAGTGTCAGACATGATTTACAGCTGTTATTGCTTATCAATTACAGCTGGCTGGCTGGCTGGATGGATTCTTTTTTGCAGTGTGGTTTCCTTGTAAAATAGCTGCAGCGTTGAAGTTGTAGTCTCACAAATAAGGACGGAAGATATGCCTGAGAAATGGAGAAGAAATGTACTGTAACAGATTTTCGAGAACAAGGGTGACAAGCTGTAGTGACTACAGGGGATAAAGCTGATGAGCCATGTCATGAAGGTATGGGAAAGAGTTGTTGAAACAAGTCTGAAAAAAGAGGTGATGCTCAGTGAGCAGCAGAATGGCTTCATGCTGAGAAACAACATTACACACGCGACATTTGCTTTGAGAGTGTTGATGGAGAAGTACAGCGAAAGCAGGAGTTGCACTGTGTCTTTGTGGATCTAGAGGAAGCATAAAATAGGGTGTAAAGAGAGGAATTGTGGTACTGCATGAGAGTTTCAGGAGTGGCCAGGAAATATGTGAGGGTGGTACAGGACATGTACGAGAAGAGTGAGGTCATGGCGTGTGGAAACGCCACTTGTGAATGATCTACACAAGTTGTGCAGTATCCCAGATATTCCTAGGACTGTGTTCTTCTGGACAGAGATCTTGGATGTTGTTCCTGGGATCTGCTGGAGCCACTCGCCTAGCTTGGGTGTCACTGCACCGAGTGCTCCGATTACCACTGGGACCACTGTTATCTTCACGCTCCACATCTTCTCGAGCTGTAGTCTGAGCCCTTGGTACTTCTCAAGCCACTGCTGTTCCTTCTTCCTGATATTGCTGTCATTCGGTATTGCTACACCTATCACTACGACCATCTTCTTCTGCTTGTCCACTACTATGTCCGGTGGGTTAGCCGTCACTATCACCATCATATATATATATATATATATATATATGTGTGTGTGTGTGTGTGTGTGTGTGTGTGTGTGTGTGTGTGTGTTTGCTAACCGTCAGCTAGTCTTTAACTTTTAATACTGCACCATCTGAAATGGAGATGAACTACATGAATGCTCCTTTTGTGAATATATTTTTAGCCTGTGCTTACTGCTTCTAAATGCCACGGCTCAAACAAAGTATCATCAGCTAAATGATTCATATTGTATCTCAAAAGTTAATATTATTGTTGCCTACAAAGTGACCCAGGATTAGTTCCTTTTTCATAGGTGCTTCTTTCCACCCACAGTCAGGGGGGGGGGGACAGAGACTCGAAATGACCCGCAGGTATGAATGAGCTTCTGTACTGTATGTCTGAATGCCTGTATTGATTTCCTTGCCTTCTAAGCAGTCAGTGCAGGGATAGTCTACAGCCCCTCCTGTGACCCTAAAAAGAAACTGGTGGGTGGAGAATAGGAATAACATCAAAAAGTAAGCATGCTGCTTCTTGTTTTTTCCCTCACCATATTCCTGTATTTTCCTGTTGTTGCTACTCACCACTACACAGTGTTTTAGTTTTTTTTTTTTTTACCTTGGTATTTCTGACAACATATTTTTATATCACAAAGAGTTATGATTGGATGTGACTCCTGCCAGTGCCAAAGACACAACATTTCACTGATGTCTTCTTTCATATCTCCGTCCTGGGCTTTCCTACATTTTGAGCTCCAGATTGGATTTGACAAGGACAGACTCAGAGGAGCAGAGATAACCGTGCGCAGTGTGCCCTTGTTCTGCAGTCTGCCTTCATATTTGTAAGCCAATTAACTAGATTAGAAAGCATGATCAATACAGCCACCTTATGCAACCCCGTTACTGTCAACTCATTAGAAAATTAACTACTGCCTGTCACAACAATGCCGATTCAACGCCCACTTTTTCGACTTGATTCTCACGGGATATGTTTTTTTCTTTCTCATTAGCCTCACTCTCATTCACACGTTTCATTTTTTTTTTTTTTTTATCAAAGACAGCTTAGCCTATGACATCTGAAGTGACAGCTTGTTTGTGGCTCCTTCCTCTTCAGTTGGATAAGGTCTTTTTAAAGCCTCAGTCGATATTTTCACGGGTATTTAAATGGATCAGCAGCTCTCCAGGTCGACATTGATTTTGACCAACTGAACCCAGAGGAAACCGAGTAATTTGAACCTTGTGGGGTCAGTAGAAGTTTACTCAGCCGTGATCTGAAGAAAGTTTTGACCTGCTCTTGGCAGATGATTTTAGCACATGTGGCCACCGCCAACCCCAACTCCACCCCATCTTTTCTTAAACGACAGCCGTTTTAAATCTCCATCTTACCATCAGGTCTTTTTTTTCTGGGTCGTTATTCACTCGGATCAAGTGAAAGGATGACAGCGGGGTGAGATCATGTCCGACTATCTTTAGGTTTTTTTTTCTTACTTTATGTTATAGGTACACTGGATATATCATTTTTTTGTTTTGTTTTGCATTATTTCCAGCGGTGGAATTTTTTAAAAAAAAGTAAAGTTATAAGTAAAGTCATAAATAGTATTATTTAGTATTGTTGCTTACTTTTGTCGAGGTTTATTTCATTTATTTAATTAAAACTCTATAAATCTCTATATTTTGATAATCAGTTAATCGTGGAGATATTTTTCAGCTTAGTATTATTTTGCTATTGGCGCCTCCTGTGTGACGATTTCTTCTTTTTGAGTCACCGTGCGCTGAATATGGCGGTTTTGAATCTGTGAAATTGCAATCGGCATCATCGCCAAGCCATAATTTCTAACATTAAGCAGATAACTAGCATGTAATGAATATTTGATTAATTGAGAAGGTATGGCTTTTTCCACCGGTTTTTTTCTTCTTCTGACAGTTACATTTTTGTGCCTCTGACTCTCCGCTGAAGCTGTTAGGAATAGTTTAGTTTAAGGAGGTATAGCTTAATTTTGGTTCTGCTTTTGCGCCCACTGTGCTGAAAGTGAGTTTCTAGAGAGTAGCCACAGTGCCATGGCAAAAGATAGCGTCTGCACCGGAGTGAAAATGTAAATCCTGAGATCTGAAGACTACCTCATCTGAGGACGCATACGGGGATGCTGCTTATCTTCAGCCAAACGCACACCCCCTGCTCGATGAGAGATTTCACAACACCCGCTGCTGATGGGATGCACTGTGCTACCGCCAGTGCCCACGTTTAGGCGACAGCTCCGCACTCCTGCAGAACAAGCCTGTGTGGAAACAGAAGACTTTACTTGTAAGGAGGGACGTGGTGATTTTTTTAGACGCACTCATTTGTAACTTAGAGAATCTCGAGCGTCATTGTGATCTTTTGTGTGGGGGATCGTTTTGGTGCAACGGAGGAGGGGTACCCGGTGGATACTAGTGCTTGCTTTTGCTCAAAAGAAGCGCGCTCGGTTGGATTTAAGCTGCAGTCCACTTTACGCCAACTGCATTGCCACAAGGAGAGGGGGGGAAATGTATGTATCATGAAACTAGGCGCCTGCGGCTTTTCGCATTAACTCTTTGATGGATGTGCGGACTTAAATCCACAAGTGGGGTCGTTCTTTGTGCTTTTAAGCTATACATAATATCACTTCACAACTACAATGAGACAACGTGTCGGGAGAGGAATTGTTGCCCGGAGAAGTGGAGCCACAGAGCAGGACAGTGACTTCCAGAGGATACCTACAGACGAGTGAATGCCGTCTCTGATGTGGAGCTTGTCGCTGTCCGACGCGCGAGTGGTGCTGAAATTTGGATGATGCCTGGCCAGCGACTGCAAGACTGCCGCTCCCTGCACCTCAACGAGGACAACGGCCGCTTCGTTTTGCTCGCCATCCTCATTTTAGTGTACCTGCTGTGCGGCGCTGCGGTCTTCTCGGCTATAGAGAGGCCCTCCGAGCTGCGGGCTCACGGGCGCTGGAACGGGACGCTCCTCAACTTCAGTGAGACCTTCAACATAAGCCTGCAGGAGCTGAACTCCTTCCTGCGGGAGTACGAGGCTGCCATCGCCGCCGGAATCCGGGCTGACGCTCTGAGGCCAAGATGGGATTTTACAGGGGCTTTTTATTTTGTTGGAACTGTGGTGTCGACTATAGGTGGGTGATCTCTGCAGCATTCACTAAATTCCCTGACCTCTTGGTCCAATCGGTTGCATCATGTTGTTCTCTCGACAGCATACATGTTGGAAAATATGCATTAGGGCTATTCTACATAAAACCACACACATGCCAAGCCCACATAAAGCTTTGTGTTAATAAAAGAAGAAGAAATTCCAGGGATGCTTGTCAGCCCATGTCGTGAAGACAGGAAACACTTGAATGGGTCTTTGTTACTGGATTGGATTAGAGGTGTTTTATTTTAAATTGTATTCATGGTAAATACTGATATCCTTACTTTTTGTGTGGATGTCACATAAACTGGAGCTGCTTCCCTGGGGGTGGCTTTCTTTCCACTGGCTTACATGCAGAATAAATGATCCAAATTATTGTGTTTTTCTTTCCAATCATGTGTTACATTTTGGCTGTGAGGGACTTTGGCACCGGGGACGGCATCTGACTTGTCTGCCATTTGGAACAGGGATGAGTTCCCTGGCTATAGGACAGCACCCACGGGTGCAACTCTTTTTTTTTTTTTTTGGCCACGTTTCTGTTCAAACCAAAAGGAATGTCAATGAGAAGCCCCTTCTGCTCTCACCCCGCCCCCTCCCCATTTAACATTTACTTGTGCAATAGGTCAGAAAAGAGCAAGTGTCCCTCCCAGGGCACCCCGAGGGCCAATACTGTGGTGCACTGCATGCCTGATGGGCTCCAACACCCCCCTCCAATCATGCACACCTGCCCCTCACACCACCACCAGCATCACACCACACCCCGGACAGATAAAGCCGAGCCACAGCTTACAGTGAGTAAACGAGTGAGTGAATGCGAACAAGCAAATGAACACACTCCAGCAGCTGTCTGTCTCTGACCTTGGGCTAAACACACAAACACACTCTGCGTATACAGTGTGACACCTTCGGCAACTATTTTTAATTGAATACTGTGGCATAGGGAGTGATAAAAGAAAGCTGATCCACGTGAGCAGGGAACCTGTCACAACTTTATTTACTGTAGACCTGTCAGGAGAGCTTTGTTAGTCCTTCTACCTCCTGCTCGCAGACACACAAAGGCACAGACACAGAGCACTCGGGGAGCCCGTGCACTCAGCTCACCGTGTCATGGGAGGGAACCACAGCAGCTGTGTTTGTGCACATGTCTGTGGCAGGTTGAAAGCCTTTGTACTCCAGTTGTCTGCATCGCTTTCTTTACCCAACAGGCTGATGATAAAAACTGACTCAGCAGCTTGGGGGGGAAAAGGGAAGGAGAAAAGAATGATGTTATGATACTTTCTACAATATTTTCTCCTTTTCATGTGTTTGCATGGATTTCTGTCAAGCATTTCATCCTCCTTTGATCTCAACCCACTCCCCCCCACCCCAACCCTCTGGCTTGTGTGCTACTTTTTTCTGCATGCTTGTGAGATGGTGATATAAAAGGGATTGTGGGGCCTCCCCACACAACTCTTTATCAGAGCGGCATCCCCCTGTGCACTCTAGACTTTCCTCCCAAACACTTCCCGCCTCTGACTCTGCTGTGGCAGAGGCTTCAAATCAGCAGTGACTCTTTGCTCCCCTTGATGTGCCTCCATAGCATCACTTTGAAGAATGAAATAAAGCCGTGGCCACATGATGCATTCTTTACCCCGGGATTTGGCTGGGTTCATTGGCCATCGGTGCTGCACACATTGTGTTGTTTTAGAATTTTTGAAAAAGCTGCAGTAAGTATCAAATCCACTGCGGCTTTTTCCAAAGCGTATGTTGAACAAATGCAACAAAACTAGCACTTTGGCCCAGATTGAAATCTCTGGTGTTCTCTCAGATTGGTTAAACTCTGACTTTTTTTTTTTGTATTTTCTGTAGCTGCACATTTCTGGTTTTGAGTGAAATTGTTCAAAAAAGAAGAAATAAAAGTTTGTCCAGCATTTATGCATGAGAGTAGCTGTGAGGAGCACATCTGCCTTCTGCCTGTATGAGGCGATAGGCGGGGAGAGCAGAATGAATGGGGCAGGCGTCAGATAAGACACCGATTAAATCTGAGATAGCATGAGCTGAGGTGGAGGTGGCTGCAAAGTGAATGGGCTTAAATAGTATGACCCATATGAGATTTGACAGTTGGATGCATAGAAAGGTATCGGCTGAGCTGTCACTTAATGTAGGTTGGAACTGAAAACAGCTGCCGGGATAACAGCTGAGCATGGCTGCTCGATATGCTTGATTTGGTGAGCAACGTTAGCACTAACCTGTCATATACACAGCAGTATAATGACCACTTCACACAGTGCTGCCATTCAGTGTCACTTCTGATTAGGCCCAGTAATCACTCAAGGGGAGGCCACAATAAGAAAAAAACAAGCTTGAGGCACAAAAAGCATTTCCTTGTTGAGAAGCCCTGTCAGAGAAACATCTGTAAAATTTCTGACAGGTGAACTCCGACTACAAACATGAACTTTTCTATCATGAATTCTTGAACAGCTGTTTATCTATGTTTCCTGTGAGCGGAGTTTCTGTGTGATGAGTGGGAATGGATGGGACATGTACAGCCAGGGCCAAGTGCATTAATGTGGAAGCAAAGTTATAAGCTCATGCATATTTAACTCAAAGCCACCTACACACTCAAAAAAAACCCCCACACAAGTATCTAATGTGTGTCTAGCATGAAAATATAGACTGTTAGACTCTTTTCAGCCTTCTTGTATTGGTTGTATTGTATTGCCCCATCTTTCTGGTTACTGTGTTTGAACTCACATTAAGGAGGGCACAAGAGTTGCATCAATAAAATGGCTTATTTATAGCCTTCAGGGCTGATTGATAGATGCTAGCTGCCAATTAGGACAGCTCTCTGTAGTCTTTTGAGAGCCTCTATGTCTCATTTTGAGTACCTATAATGGCATTTAGGGAAACCCTTAGTCACTTTTACAGTGCTGGCAATGAAAATACTTGCCTGAGAATAAAGCTGCGAGGGAAGAGAATCAATTAGATTGAGAACTTTTAGCTTGTTGGGCGTTATTAAGCAGGTTAAGGCTGTTAGTTGTTCAGCAGTTTGTAACATAACATTCAGCTGCAAATTTGGATTGTGTCTGCACTGTTTATTCCTGAGGATAAACTCTGTCCTGCCCCTGGCAGCCACTGCAGCATCCTGCTCTATCACACCTATATCCACAAAGGCAGACAATACAAATAGTACAGTTTAACACACAGCACACAAAAGAGCCACATGCAGTTTCTTTTGCTTTAAATAAATCCTCACTGAACCTGCAGAAAACTTTCAAAATTAAGAGGAATGTCAGAAATGGACATCACATAATCCTGCTTGATCCTGGCTGTATAGAGTAGCTACTGAGATGAAATGTGATCATTACGAACAAACTGTCCTCATTAGCCTGACGGCTTTGAGCTTACTGTAGTGTTATGATGATATTATAACATAATAAGTGCCATAAAAGCCCTGTTTTGTATTTATGTGTCAGATCAGATTGAGAACACCTCTCAAAAGTGTAACTTAAAGTTGCATTAAACAACATTTCGACATTAGCAATCCCTTTTATGCGTTATACGTTACACAGAGAGGGATACTGCATAAATCTCTGGTTTCCAGTCAACTCTTCATGTGTTTTAGCTGCGTTTAGTTCTTAGATCTTTTAGTCTTTTAGTCTCACTGAGAATTTAATTTAATTGTTTCCTGTGAGCTGTTAATTAGCAAAGAACCCCCTTGTGGAGTACACTAAATGTCCAGCTCTAAACAGTGGACAGACAATGTTAGAGATTAGTTGGTGAACATATTAAAGCACACAACAGCTTAAGGACCAGGTGGTGCCCTGAGTAGTTGAAGGAGCTAAAAAGGAAAGTCACTACTGGACTGGTCTGATTGAGATATTAAAACACAAGAGTAAACGATGCTTGTTGGATTATTAGTATGATGTTTACAGCATGTTCTACTCTCTTATTGACCACCATTTATTTATAGAGTGCTTTATTCTAGGGGATTCTAACACTTTATCTTACATGCTTGGTCAATTTAGATTCGCCAGTTAAGCTAGCTTGCATGTCTTGCACAGTATCCAGAGGAAATCCACGCAGGCACAGAAAGGCCCAAACCAGGTGACAGGTGACAGCGCTCTTAATTTTGCCAAAACCTGGCTGAAGGTGTCTTTGTTTGCCCAAATGAGTTTCAAATATACCCTGCTATGCTAATACAGCGCACCTGCCAGGACAGTCGTCTAATATTTCATGAAACGAGATACATAGACAAAATATGTCAGTCCCTCTACTGAACTGGGGGCTGCAAAGTTGGTTCAGCAGCGTTTCTGAATTTGTGAATTTGTTTATAGTCAGATTATGACTCTATTTCATGAATCCCATAACAGGAAAATTATTCTTTGAAGCAGTGTGTGAATATGCATTACTCTGCCAACTTTTCTAAAAGTCAACACCAAAAGTATCTGTGAAACCACGATGTATTCAGTCCAGCAGAGCGATAACCGATTCCTGTTAATGAGCAGCAGATCTGACTTAATGCCTCTGCTGCAGAAGGACAGGTTTGTTTTTTAACACTCATTATTTCAAACATAATCACTTTGTAATCTCATAAACCAGCAATCAAAAAGCAATCAAAGCCATTCTGGCATTATATTGCATTTGTATTATAACTAGGTGACGATTAGAAAAAAAATTGTTAACTCAAGAAAGCTACAAGCGTGTTATGTAATGATCAATGTAAGAAAAGATTTAGAAACATTATAATCTTCAGCGTTTCTGGAGTGTTAGTAGACAATTAGGCCTAATGGCTTAGAGGGTATTATTCTCCTCATCTTCTGGTGCCAATTTAAAAAGTGCTAATTTGGCAGTCTCATTGAGTCTCACTGAGTCACACTTGTGAGGTTTGTGTCACCATGCCTCTCTGACCAAGGCCCGATGTATGTGCAAACCAAATTTGTTCTGTACTGTGCTGCCTTTTAGTTCGTGTGCCTCTGAGGTTATAAGACAATGTCACCTCAGTCT